TTAGCTGTTTTTATAACATGATTTTAATGTTAAAAGATTAAAACAAAGTTTGTTTCTGGAATATAAACATTCCTGAATGTTGATTGTTAAAAGTTGTAAATGTATGCCTGAAGACAAAAGGTGCAGGTTTGGAATTGTTTGCAAAGTGAGAGGTGTGCTAGATGTCATGGATTTGGACAAACAGACAAAATATCACAAAAGAAAGGTCAGGGAAAACTTTACAGAGACTTATAAAGTAGATTTTGATAAACAAACAGTACTCTAAGCTGGGAACATCCCACAGAGCTCTGTTCAACCATTAGAGAAGAGAAAGAGCTTTATGCCTTCCAAGGCAACAAACACTGACCGTCCACCTGAAGCAAGCTGAGCAAGGAGAGCATAAGTCACACAAAACAACCAAGCTGTCCACTGTAACTCTGAAGGAACTGGGAAAATCCACAGCTCAAGTTGAAAAATCTCTATCAGCAGGAAAACCCTTACAGCTTCCATAAATGTGGCTTTTTATCACAGAAAACCAACAGCTTACGTCACCCTGAACACAGCGCTCCCACTGCGACATGGTAGTGAGGATGAGGAGGATGTTTTCAACAACAGAAAAGGAAATCCTGGAGCAAAATCTATATCAGACATTCGACTGTTGCACAGGGGCGGAGCTAGATGGGGGGCCAGGGGTGTCCTTGGCCACCCTTAGCCAATCACTGGCCACCCCTGTGGCCACTCATACCATTATTTTCATCTAATACAGATGATGGCAGCTGTAATACTCTCAAGAGGAATGTTCAAAACATTTCAATTTTCTGTGGTTAATTAAACACATCAATATACTAAGGACAGAATTTATGCTCTTTCCAGAACTAGATGTTGTTTTATATGGGGTAAAGAGAACATTATGTATCTCTGCAAGTCATCTAGGAGTCATCATAGACAAATAACAATCTTATTTAAAACTTAACAAATAATGAATTTATGTAGATATATTTGCTTAAAAATGTCAATTTTATGCAGAATGTTTATTGATACAAGTAGGTGAGTAATGACAATGGAAAAGATTCATTCCCCAGAACTCAAAACTATAAGAATTTTATCCACTATAACTTTTATTTAGAAACAACGGATGTTTAAATATATGCGTCTATTTGTCATAAAAGGCTGTAGGAAAGTATAGTTTGTCTTTCTTTAGAAAATCTGGATGTTTTGCTCATTAATTTTTCTGTTGGAACAATGTAGATTGACCCTGAGCCACCCCTCAGTCTACATTGGTTATTGCCTGGCCACCCTTAAAAAAAAAATTCTGGCTACGCCTCTGCTGTTCCACAGATTCTACTTTCGACAGAATAACGACTGGAAACCCAGCAGGAGCGACAATCCAATTAGAATCAGTAGCAAGAAGAAAACTGCCATCCTCAGACGCTTTGTATCTAATCCGACTGAGCTTGAGCTTTAATACTAAAAAGAACTGGCAAATATGTCTGTTTCTAAATGAGCAAATCTGGTAGGAAGACCCCCTGAACATCAAGCACCTGTAACTGTGCTGAGAAGTGGTTCTACAAACCATTAAGTCGCAGCCAGCACGAGGATTTGTCCCCTAACCACTAAAGGAAAACTGAAGCTTGGTCCACTTGAGAAGCAACAGATGTTTTGACATAGATGAAAGGTTTCCAAATAGCTGCCTGCTTCTACTCTCTGACTCACTTCAGTTCGATGGGAAGCTACACCTTTAGATGGGAAAACAAGTGAAAGATACCCACTATTTTTTTCATCAGATTCCTCGCTGCGTTCTTTAGAGGCGTTGATAAAGGCTGTGAGAGGAAATTACACAAAGAGCATGACACTAGACCAGACTTAATCATACTTCTTATCTGTATCCGTCTGTTATCTTCTCAGACAGACAGATTCACAGCAGCACCCACACTCTTAGTGGAGGTCAGACCGTACTCAGCATGCCATCCCTTTGTTTTTCCAGGGGTAATATCAGACGGACGAGAGGACAGATCCAGTTCCTCTGGCATTAAACATTCATAACCATTTGTCTCTCTCAAATCATGCCTGACAACAAAAATAATTCAAATGCCACGGTTTACAAATGGATCATTAAATTTCTGATAAAGAGGCCGCTGCCTCGTCTACTCAACACTTATCATATTTGTTAATGGAGATGAATTATTCATGCCTCCAACAGATGACATCATGATACGGGCTAAAAAAAACAAAAACGCTGCTGCACTGTACGGCGGCGGACAAAAGGAACAGCAAAGAAGGTGAAAGTAAACAAAGAAGTGGTCCGTGAGGCTGAGAGAGGGGACGGTGTAGGAGTGGGTGCTGGTCTAACCCTCCCTGCCTGGACCTGTCAAGAGGCCCTCATAAGTTCATCAAAGATGAAAACCTGTTTTCCATTTGAAAAGACAGAACCGGGAAACTAAAGGAGGCTCCTCGGCTTACAAAGGTGGTAATCATCCATAGGACAAGAATGTGGGCCAGACAAAAACCTGTAGGAATAAATGAATATCAATCAAAAAGTTGTGGGGGGGGGGGACCCACCACACGTGTTGATGAACGAACAAAGCAACAAAAACTGAAGTCAGGCCAACTCCATATAGCTGAATATGCATGAGGTATAAATCATTTTATGATTTGTCACTAAGTCAAAATTAATTGATTGATTTCATGCCACCAAATATTTTCTTCTATGGGGTCTTATACAGCAGATGCACTGTTGTTAAGAAGTCTGCTTTTGAAAGATTTCCAAAATGGTTGGCCACTAATGATGGAAAAGAAACTTTCATTGAGTTTGTTTAATATTGTCAGATTTAAAGCTGCAAGTCAGAATCAAATTCCCTTTACATTTTCCCCTTTGAAAAAATAAAAATAAAATCTGACATGGTAAGTTTCCCTTTTCAATTTGTTTTTGTCCCTTTAATTTCGACAATTTTTAGGTTTGTTTGGCTCAGCTGCACAAAAAAATGCATTCAAGGTCCTTTCTGAGAACACAGCATGGACATTAGGAGAAAATCTGTTAAAATAAGACAAAAGAAGCTGCCTGTGAGGACAACAATGATTTCTGACTCACTGATTTCTGTCATATATCCTTCATTTGGCTTATATTTTATGAATCAATCAGAACAATCAATTTTATCAACGTTTTAACTCTTTTATCAACCCAAATCTAAACAAATCTCAATCAGCACACAAAGTTCTATAAACCCCTTCATTATCCTGATGTTTTCTATTTAGTGTATTGCTGGATGTTTTATTTAAATGTGGCCTTTTATGAAGTACAAAGAACTGAAATACAAGAAAAAAATTAATCAATTATTAGTTAAAAGGCGACTCTCCAGCTTTAAATTCCCATTAATGAATATCAGACTGTCTGGACCGTTGTTGTGGTGGCCAGAAAATTTCCAGGGGAGCCATCGCCTCACAGTCCAAAACCCTCCCTTTGGCGCCTTTGTGTGTTAATCCCAAGCACAAACTTGTCAGGAGTTGGCCAAAACAAACTCCAGCCGTGCTCAGTGGGATTTTAGAGCTGTTTGACTCCTAACAAATGCAACATCCATCTGTGAAGTTGTCACTAAATAACTCCATCTCAATAAAACGATGCATAAAAGAGAATAAGCAAAATAGTGACATAGCATTCAAGTGGGAAAAGCTGTTGGATTCATGTGATGGTGAGTGATTGTTGTATTTTCAGCAAGTAAAGCAAATCTGTCTAGACTAGAAGCCACATGCATTAAAAAAATCATTTTCAAAGATGCTTGAAATGGAAGCACTTCCATCCATTAAAACAATAAAATGAATGCATTTCTTGTTAATTGGCTGCATCCTTTCAGCCTGGTCTCCTGTTCCAGTGAACTTCACCTGACAAGGTGCTCCATAGAGCTGCTCAACACTGCCCTCTGTCGGGCTTTTACAGAACAGCGCCAACGATCCAACTCTGATAAAAAGCTTTACTGCCTCCAAGGACAGCTTCTTCTACGTTCTTGTTTTTCCACACCTGTCTTCTTTGTAACATTTACAGTCTAGGGAGCTCTCTGTTGGACATTTATCCTCGTTTAAGGATTCAAGTTTGAACAAATCTGTACAGCATCAAGGAGAAAGGGAGAGTAATCCATCCTAAGTGACAAGCTCATGAATACAGACTTTCTGGGCTCAGTTGCAGCGATATCAGGCAAAAAAGCAAGTTTTGAATCCTTTAAACATTCACAAAAAAGATGTGGATGTAAAAACGTAAAGTCACTGAGAAAAAGGTTATTATTTACTAGTCTTTATTCAGGAGGAATACAATGTAGGTATGAGTTAAACAACAGTTTGGATTAAATTCTAAAGGATTTGCCATAAATTAAGGTTTTTGTCATAAAAAGCAGAATTCTTTATGCGCGTTTTCCCCGTGAAGATACACCTGGTTGGTTTTTCTTTAACCTTATTTCTAAACTGCAATTCTCAGCGGACTTTGGAAACACAAAGTAAGTTTCAGCCACTGTGAGGCAGCCCACAAAATGCGCCTCTGATCCTGGGATGAAACGTGAGTGGAAAGTAAAACCGGTAAGGAGTAAAAAAAAAAAAAAACTGCCCTTTAGGAATACCTTTATATAGAGGAAGCTGTATGTTAAAGCAAAAAACAAAAAACAAAAAAAGGAGTCAGAAATTATTTTAAGGGAACTATTTTTTTTCTTTTTCCTATGAATAAAAAATAAATAAAATAAAAACAACGCAGGCTATTAGGTGTAAGGGGGTAAAAATGGTCCCGAGAGAGACGGACCCCGCTGCAAAGTCCCCAGACCATCACTGGTAGTGGGTGCAATGCACTGAAGCAGTTTGTTTACTGTATTCATTTAAAGAAAAAAAAACAGAATATGATTATTTAAGCATCTGAGTGGAGAAATGACGCACAACCCGATCTGAAAACTGCTCAAAAACAACCAAAGTGCTTTGTTTACGTCATCCTTCATATTTTCTGCAAAAGAAAACAAAAGAAAAGTGATTTTTCTCTCTCTATGCCTTACCTCTGATGTGGATTGTAATCCTATGGATGATGAAAATGCCAGCCTGGGGTTTAAAAAAAAAGAAAAATAATCTCGCACTTGTGTGAACCGGAGGCAGAGTATAAAGCCAGGTGATGTGTTGTTTCCTCAGCTATAGGCGCTCCTCTCCCACAGACCTGCAGCCGGCTACTGCGCTCTCTGCTCCTCGGTCGGGCGATACCACCGGGTGGAGTGGAGGGGTGGGGGGAGGAGATGGGAAAGGAGGAGGAGGGAGAAAGCTAGAAATAGATGGGTCCCACTAGCAGGGCTGTTCGCTGGGAGCTGGAGTGTTGTTGTTGCAGATTCTTCTGTACAGAAGAGACTTGATAATAAGAGCGTCCGGGGATTATGGGAAAGACTTGGCCCTGTTGGGAAGGTGGGAGTTACCTGCTGGTAACCTGGCAATTTAACTCTCTTGGTATCAGAACACCTTTAACAACAAAAACAAGTTATCTCTGTCTTAGCTAAGATAGGAAATAAACTATTCTATTCTATTCTATTCTATTCTATTCTATTATATTATATTATATTACATTATATTATATTATATTATATTATATTATATTATATTATATTATATTATATTATATTATATTATATTATATTATATTATATTCTGTGAGAATATTATATTATATTCTGTGAGCTTTTCACAGACCCTTCACCTAATATTAACATTTGGTAATGGGTCTATGGAATTAGATTTTTTTTTACCAAACATTTATTTATTGATCAAATCGTTAGTGCATTAATTTTTTTATGTCCACCCATGGATGTAATTTTGGGGGGGGGGGGGGGGGGGGGGGGGGGGGTCGGGACAGGTCCCCTGCGCTTTTTCAAACTTGCGTTTTGGTCCCCTGCAACTTTCACTAAAATAGTCTATTCTATTCTATTCTATTATGTGGATCTATGGAATTAGATTTTTATACCTAACAGTTTTCTTTTTCTTTTTTTAAGAGCTACAATTGTTTGTACCTTTGAATTGGGACTGGGAGATTTATTGATCAAATAGTTTCTGCATTTTTTAAAAGTTTTTTTATGTCCACCCATGGACGTAATTTTGTGGGGGGGGGGGGGGGGGGCATGTCCCCTGCGCTTTTTCAAACTTGCGTTTTGGTTCCCTGCATGCTTTACTAAAATACCCTGTTCTATTCTATTATTTTCTATTGTATGAGATTTTCATAGACCCCATCACCGAATATAAACATTTTTAAAGGCGTCTATGGCAGGGGTCTTCAAGGTTTTCCAGGCCAAGGACCCCCAAACTGATGGCAAGATGGAGCGGGGACCCCCTAATTATATATATTGTAGTAAATTGTGTTATGTGGTCCTATAGTCACTCTATTACAGATGGAGTCATGTAAGGAATGTTACATGACTCCATCCAATACTTTAATAATCATGGGATTATTAAAGTATTTCTGATTCTGATTCTTTGTTGATGGGACAGGTGTTGGACAGGTTTTGGGAATTAAACTGTGATCACCAGTGTGTGCATTGATGACTGAGAGACATCTTCTGCCTCCATTTATCTGTTTGTTACAGTGAGTTTAATTCATGGTAATGTGTATTTAAAAACATTTCAATTAGCGGAAATAATTGCAAGGGGGAATATAAAAAAAAAAAAAGTTTAATCAACCAAAACTTTTCCGACATCCATGTTGTACCTCCGTGGAATTAGAGTTAACACTTTTTGCATGAATTTTTTATGTCCACCCATGGATGTAATTTTTGTTGCTGGTGGGGGGGACATGTCCCCTGTGCTTTTTCAAACTTGCATTTTGGTCCCCTTCACATGTCACTGACAAAAATAATGTTACAGTACACACAAATTCATCCAGCACGAGGACCAAGCGGAAAACCGCAGCTCAAGCAGAAGCCCACTTCCCTGAGTTTAGACCCACCTTCAAGCTCCTTATTGGCCCACCGTCTCAAACACGCTGAAGTTAGTTATATTACAAAATACTTGCGTCCCCCCACTTCTAAAATCTTAATTTCTTCCATGTGTCCACCAATGCACTTTAATGGCTTCCACTGCTCAGTGTCATCAGTTCATCCCTTTGTTGTTCTTAGATATGTTCTTACTGTGTTTATAAAGCAGTTGACTGCATAACACCACTGGCTGCAAACATTTAGTTTGAGATATTTTTATTGTTGCAACATTTTTTACAAGCATTTTCACTCCTTGAATTTAAATTAAGGTCACTAAGGCCCTTTGATTTCAGAATTAAAGTCAGAAGAATTAAAGTAAATATGGAAGCATTAAGTGAGCTGAATAATTTTAAAGTTCTTCTCAAAAACAGAAGTAAAAAGACTTATTGTATTAAAACCTGCAACATGAGCTGTTAAATCACTCAAATAATTACCTGCCTGGCTGTGATCCCAGAGTTCTGACCTTATTCTCAGAATTCAAACTTTAATCCCCGAATTTTGACTGATTCTGACTTTAATATCAGAATTCTGGTTTAAATCTGAGAATAACTGTAATCCAATTTTGACTACTTGCATTAATTTATAAAGTTTATAAAGTCAGAATTCTGAGATTAAAATCAGCATTAGTCAGACTTTCTGACTAACTTTAATCACAGACCTCAATCTTATTCTGATGGAATTTTGAATGCTGCTAATATCCTTATGTTACCAACGTTATATTCCTGGGCTTTGGCACTGGAGTTCAAAGTAATTTGAGTTTTAGTTCTTAGAACAAGAATTCTGTCACAATTATAAAATTGAAGATTGGGAGTGAAAACTAGTCACACTTCTGATATTGTAGTCAGAGTTATGATATCAAAGTCCGAATTTAAAAGCCTTTTCTTTTTACTTTTTAATTGCCCTGATCCTCTCCCTTAGAAATCCTTTAAACTTATGTAGTTGGAAAAAAAATAAGAATTTAGTCCAAATTCTCTACACTCATCAAGGGGGGAAATCATACATGCAAGAACTGTAAAAAAAAAAAAAAAAAAAAAAAACAGAAGGTCAGATCTATTCTGGGAACTCTTCTGAACCCCTGGAGAAGATTTTGCAAAACAAATCTATTTACAAAAATAAGAAAATTAAAGGCTGCACTGTGGAAAATGTAGCATTGTGTCCTTGCAGCGAGAAGGTCCTGGGTTTCTGCATGTAGTTTGTACGTTCTCCATGTGCTTGTGTGTGTTCTTTCTGGATACTCCACCTTCTTTCCAACGCCTAAACCATGACATCTGTGCATCTCAATTGGCAATATAAGTTCCCGGCAACACAAAGTCACCTGCACGGTCCCCCAGGGATCAGTCCTTGGTTCCATCCTATTCATCATTTCCATCTTCTCCCTCGGTCACCATGGAGTCTCATTTCACTTGTTCGCTGATGATTCACAACTATAGCATCATCATCTTCAAAACTCACTGCATGTCTGGAGGAGATAAAGATGTGGATGAAACACTATTTTTGTCATGATCGAGGGGATTTTTCTGACCCACATGCAGGAAACCACAAGCAGGATTCAAAGGATCAATCTCTTTATTGAACCGAAAACAGAATCCAAGCTGGGTTCAGACTGATCAGCTGCTTCAGCTGCTTTGTTCCAGAAGAAGAGCCGATCCCGGAGGGGGCTTGTGGATTTCAAAGGTGGGCTGGAGACCAAACGGTGGAGAGCGGGCAGGCAGACGGAGTAACAGCGGAGCCAACTTAGTCGGGCAATCAGGCGGTGAAGGGTAGTCCAGCTGCTCCTTATAAGAGCTGCACCAGATGAGAAACAGGTGGGTCACCTGTCGGGTTGGCACGCCCTCCAATTGGAGATCTGATTGGAAACCTGTAGTCTCAGCCACACACAGACACCATGACAATTTTCTTCAGTTGAACAGCTCTAAACCGAGGCAATCCTTGTTGGCACATCACACCAAGCCCAGTCATCCTCCATTATTGGTATAACCATCTCCTGACATTCACCTTTGCACAACAGTCACCAATCTTGGTATAAAATTTGATCCACAACTCAGCTTTAAAGCCCATAAAAACACCTCTGCAAAATCTCCTTCTATCATCTAAGAAATATTTAAAAACTTCATTTTACACTCACCTTGGCTGATGCAGAAAAACTGGTCCATGCCTTTGTTTCCTCCAGGCTGCACTACAGTAACACCCTTCTCATCAGGATCCATAACAAGAGTCTGCAGAAACTACAGTATGTTCAGAACAGTCCTGCAACGACTCTGATGATCCGAAAGTACGAGCACATCACACCCATTCTCCACTCACTTTACCTGCTTCCTGTTCCTGCAAGGCTTGAATAAAAGGTCTCAATTCTCACCCACCAGTGCATCGATGGAAATGACCCGCTATATCTGAAGGAACTGCTCACCCCTCTCACTACAACAAGATCCTACCGCTCAAAACACTCAAACCACCTCCTCCTCCCCAAGACTAAGCTAAGCATCATGGGCCACCGTGTCTTCTGCCTTCCCTGATCATCTGAAGGAACCACAGATTATCCAGCCTTTTAAAAAATGGATTCAAAACATTTCCTTTTAGCAGAACTTAACGACTGTTAAACTTTTATAATAATGCCAATACCTTATTTATTCATATGCACTTGACAATAATGTTTAGTTTTACATTTTTTCCTTTCACTTTTCTTTGTTGATTTTACCTGTAGCACTTTGAGATTTTTCTTAAATGTAAACTGCATTACAAAAAAAAAATAATTATTATTATTATTATTATTATGGATCAATTGATTACTCTGAATTGCCCTTAGGTGTGTGTTAATGGTTGTAGATCTATGTGATGCCTTACATTGTTGCCCACAGACTGCTGGAGATAAGCACCAGCAGCCTGCATGACCCTCACAGATAATTTGAAGATGATGGATGGATGAAGAAAATGACACACAGACAGACTACTACTGGAGATCCTTCCTGTCTTCGGTCATCATTATCCACAATTCATTGAAGACGCGGCTTTAATTTGAGTTACACCAACATTTAATTTATCTTTTGTAATGATTATATAATTTAATTCAATTGCACTAACCCCTATCCTCAATTAAACAGCGAGCTGCTGTTATCATTCTGATTTGATTTCATGTAACTTTTCTATTATACGAAACAGATTAGTTTACTGAAATGAGTCTGATTTCAGTCAAAGACTCAACTTTTGAGCCCAACCCAAACATTAATAACTTAAAGCCATGGCCTTTGTATTGGCTCAATGCTTGCTGATTAACGATCTATTCTGCACCATTGTTCTGCGTTGACAGTGTTTTTTTTTTATTTGAAGTTGAATTCAAACAACTTGGATAATGTTTTTTTAAGTATTCCATGGGTTTATGAAATAGGCCAAAATCCCTGAGCAGCAAAACAGACCCTCAGCATGTTGCTACAAATCATCAAGCAGTGGTCTAAGGTCTGATAGCCTTCTTGCCTGTGGGCAGATCATGGATAGGGCATAGAATGTCATTTTCTATTGTTGTTGTTGCTTTTTTTATTATAGCGGGGCTCAAATATCCAAATACATGATTCTGCTGGGAAAGTATCATCAAACCAAGATAAAAGATTTAAATAAAAAGGAGCTTATTCCAGTCCGACCATTAGACATTGCAAAGCTACGTAAGGTGCACTTTTACATTATTCTGGGATTGTGTCCCAGATTAGTAGAGCATATGAACTATAGGCTGTTACTAGTTTTATTAAATAGCTGAATGTGTTGCAATACTGTGATAAAAAGCAAAATGTTGTTGTGTGTCGCACACAGACTTACTATTATTATTTTTTCATTTTTTTTTATTTTTTATTACACTGTCACAAGTACAGAGCAACAAAATTAACTCAGTGCATTTGACCCATCCCCTTGGTGAGCAGCAGGCTGCCATTGTGCGGTGCCCAGGAAGTAGTATGGGGGTTAAGGGTCTTGCTCAGGGAGGTTTCAAGTAACAAAGTACAAATACTTCGTTACTGTACTTAAGTACACTTTTTAGATATTTATACTTTACTCCATTACTTATTTTTCTTACTACTTCTGACTTCTACTCATTACATTTTCACACAAGTATCTGTACTTTCTATTCCTTACATTTTTAAAACAAACGTTACTCGTTACTCTTGGCTTCGGTTTAACATTTAAAAATATTTATTTCACATCATGTGCGCCATTAAATGCAGATCATTGGCTCCATCCACATCTAGTGAAAACTAGCGTCATTGGATGAGTCATATAACGCAAACACTCATTGGTTAGCTATTCGTCAAATTTGTGCTGACGCCAAAGGAAATCCTCAGAATTCTATGTCATGTCTATTTCATGCTACAATGTCGGATTCAGACAAAGATGTTAAAATGTCTGAAAGGTCGGTCACAGGTGAGAGCGTATTGGGAGATGGAGACCAACAAGAACTCCCTGATCCTTGGCCCTATCTCAAAGTGTTTTTCGAAATAGTCGAGAAATTGAGCTTTCGATTTTGGCATCTGGCTGTTTTTTTTTTTTTTTTACATTACTTTATACTTTTATACTTGAAGTAGTTTTTGGAGCACATACTTTTTCACTTTTACTTGAGTAAAGAGAAGTCAAGTTGATACTTCAACTTTTACCAGAGTGTTTTTAAACTGCAGTATCTTTACTTCTACTTAAGTAACAAATGTGTGTACTTCTGACACCACTAAACCTTACCCTGCCCCAAATAGGGCAGGGTATGGGGGTATTATTATGGGGGAATTATTGATGCAATATTATTTGCAAATGTGTGCAGAGAGTTCTGTGTCTGTATCTTGATTTGTGTGTGTATGAGAATGTGCAGTGGGATTTGAAAAAGTGTGCACATTCTCATACACACACAAAAATCTCACACAATTTCAAATTGAGAAACAGACACACAACTCTCTGCACACATTTGCACATAATATTGCAACAATAATGCCCCCATAGAGGGTGGGCTGTCTGAAGGTGGAAAGTGGCAAATTCTAAAAATATTCTCTCCCATTGTCAATTCGGAGAAGAACTTCATTTCCCAGGGTGCTTTGCGTGACTTCCAAGCCGTGGAAATCCTAATGCGCCTGCGTATCCAGACGTGGCAACGGCATCATGGCCTCCTGGATCCGCTACAGGAGAGAGATGAGAGAAGCGAAAATGTTGGCGCTGGCGCTGCTGGTGAGTGTGTCCAGGGTCGGTTTAGTTACGGCGGAGCTGCACGAGCGTCGCGTTAAATCCCCGCGCGCGTGGAAGAGACTTGGCGTCTGGTGTTGTTATGTTAGGAGGGGGGAGGGAACCTGAATCGGTCTCCTAGCCTCGGTCCTCGCAGCGGCGGCGGGGGGTGAAGTTGACAGCGGCTGAAGTGAAGTTGTTTCCCCCGGATGTTACCGAGGAGCCTCTGCAGGCTGCGTGGGGCTCTGATTTATCACCTGCAGGCTCTGAAGCTGCTCATGTTCATTGAAAACAGTCACAGAGAGTCGAACCACTGGGGATTAGTTCAACTATAACTTTGAATGAATTCTCCATTCATATTTTCCAACTAGTTAAAGAAAAAACACTTGTTCTGTTTAAACTACAGAAAGTTCCTAACTTTGGCCCTTGGCTGTAGCACAGTTGGCCCCTCTGGCTCGGTAATACTGAGGGACCTGATGTGAAAAAAACCCCCAACAAAATGTAAAAGAGCCTGATAGCAATAAGCTACATTTACTCAAATATTTGAGGAACCTTTGTGAGAAAAAGGTTTTTTCTAAGAGTTGCTGTCCTGTTTCATACTGACTCTTGTTTCAGAACAGTTTTTTTCTTCTTTAATAAGGGAAATTATATTTAAACCAAGCATGCAGGTTTCAACCCTCACAGATTACTATAAAGACTAAAAACTCCTTGTGTTTTCACAAGCTTCCTTGTTCCAGTGTCCTGTTCTGTCAGCTCAACCTGCCTTTGCCATTTGGAGAGGAAGTGGATCATAATACAGTGCATCTTATGAGTGAAAGCAGATGCACTTTTCTACTGTTCTTATTATGTTATTGTTTAAAATCTCCTTTATTTAAGTGTACCCCAGTTTTATTCAATAAAGTGGTTTAATCTGCAGCTTGTACTCCTAAATGGGTTTATGTATCCGGCTTTGCAGGACACGTCACATAAAGCTCATGCAGAAAAAAACTAAACAAACAGTATGAGTAGAGATGCAGCGATGATTGATGTACGGATCTTTCTAATGTGTGCTTTGGGCAGTAGGCGTGTTTGTCTTTTTGGGCCTGTTCCACTGCTTTTTGGAACTGAAAGTCAGTCATTTGACTCTCAGTTGATTTGATTTCAGCATAAGTCGATGTGGGGATTATTATCAGGCAACAGGAAATCACCTTACTGAAGGTGAAATATTTGTTTTTTTAACATTCTGTCTCCTTGAGCCCCAGTCAGCCTCAGCAGATGGCCGCTCACACTGAGCCTGGTTCTGCTGGAGGTTTCTTCCTGTCAAAAGGGAGTTTTTCCTCTTCACTGTCGCTACAAGCATGCTTAGTGTGAGGGATTGCATTCGATGGAATCAACTGGTTTTCCTTAGACAAAAAACTTTTAATCAATTTTACTGGATGATCTGGTGAACTGTAAACTGCCTTGAGATGATGTGTTGTGAATTAGCGCCATATAAATAAACTGAATTGACTACAGTATAGTACCCGCAGCTTTTATTCCATGTTTCAAAAATCAGTATTCCATTTAAATATCTGTATTTATTTTTATTTAATTTTTAAACTTAATTTTGCATGATGAAAGTATATTTGTTAGGGGTGTAAATTACACCCATCATGCCGATTTGATTCAGTATCAATTTCCTGACCCAACCATTCAATTATTTTCGATACTCAAGAATACATCACGATTCCATTCAATTAATTGGTAAATTGTTTTTTATTTTACCTTACAGGCTAGACAATGTTTCAAATTTGAATCAATAAAAGCTGTAATATTGTTATGCATTTTATTTGAGAAACAACAGCAAATAACAGAAGTAGCAATGTTGTACTCCACCTAGGCCTATGAAAACCTCATTCACTGAAAAATAATGATGCGTTTTACGCAGTTTATGTAAGCGGAAAGAGGGTAGTTGTTACGGGTCTCAAGCACAATGACCACAGTAACAAAGAGAATCTGTAAAATAAAGGTTAAGTCTTAGAGCAAGGAACACAGGAACACTCAAGTCTTCATCCAGGTTAGATATAAGGAGGACACAGGGGTGCCTCCGTAACTAGCAACCGGAATGAACGACCGTAGCGTCAAAGGTTCCGCCTACCCTTTTCTCTCCTTTACCCATCAATATTCTAGCCTGACGTAGTCCTACTCAATTCTAGTCAGAATATGAGTCTGATACTGCTCCATAGAGCTGTGATTATGGGGCGTGTTTCAAACGAACCAGGAAAAAAAAATGCCTCTGCACTCAATTGGATAGACCTACAACCATTAAGAGCAACGGAGTGCGTGACGTATGTTAAGCGATGCATAGTTGTCAACAAAAATCAAAGCGTGCAGTTGCACGGCTAGAATAAGAAGATGAGCCTTGATCGCGTTTCTGTTCCTCTTTTAACATTAATTTGCTGTCGATATCTTCTAGAACAGACCTAATAGCAGAATATACACACCTCAACTCTCCAGCAGCAGCCATTGTTGTTGTCACCCATGCCCGCTTTGGTCACGTGGTTGATTACGTTACTGTTGATCATCTGTCCATCATCGTATAAAGCCCGCCCTGACAATTTGATTGGCCCGCCAGATATTGTGCTAGCATACTGGGGCTACTGTTGAGCAATGCCAGACCGAACTTCCCGACCTCAAACATTGTGGGCGGGACTAAGTTCGGAATGGCACCAGGAAAACATCTCCTAATTGTAACATAATGTTTGAATCAACTACTGCCGTATGTTTTTTTTTTTTCATACTAAACACCTATAGGATAAAAATTATATATTTTTTTTCATTTTGATCCATATAGTAATAATTCCAAATGTAGTTGCACATATTTGGATGCACCACATAGTGGCTAAAGGAAGCCAGGTACGAGGGGAAAATGGGTTTAGCGCCACCGCAGCACAGGAGTCAGAATTACATCCAGGAGCAAATGGATGAAAATAAACATGAATCGATACTTTTGTGGACGTGTCTGCATCGGATCGTCGGCTATTGGATCAATGCATTGACACAAAGAGATTATTATTTACACCCCTAATATTTGTACATTTTACAATTCTTTGTAATTATGTTCAAACATTACGTATGACTAATTTGTTCGAATACATTTATTCATTTCATTTCTTAACCGCCTTGTGATGATAAAAAATCTGTAAACCAAAAGTCTGAAAAAGCATGAAATTAAAGACATTAATAAGCACATATTGTTTTTTTTTGTTTTTTTATTGCACAACGTAATTTAAAATTAGACAATTTAGTAAATTTATCAGTTAAATTTCCTATGAGAGCTGAAAATATTTGTTAAACTAATGGTATCCTCAATACCAGAAGTATATGTATTAAACCATCATTTGTGTTTAATATCTGCACTGTGTTTAGACTAAAACTGGTATAATTAGCTTCACCTGTGGCCATTTTTATGCAGGCAGACATGAGAGCTAAATGATTAAATAACGTTATCTTGGTGAGGTGGGGAAGCAGAGTGCTGGGGGTCTCATACACAGAGACTGTTTATCCTCTATGCAGTTTTCCAGGGTCTGTCGCCTTCTTCCTCAAAACTTTAGAAATAAAAACTATGTTACTATAGCTTCATTTGCACAATCTTGCCAGTAATCTAACACCATTTTCAGTGTTGTGTGTATATGGACCAAAAATGATCAATATGTGCACTCAGCCGGCTTCTGTAGCATTTCACATGTATATTAACCAAATGGCAATAATGCATGAAGCATTGGGCTGCTAGAGATTTATCCTAATTACAAGTAAGGGGTGGTATTTTCTTAAGAAAAAGTAAAAACTAGGGGCGTCCCAATTCGATATTAATATCGGATATTGGTCTGATATCACCCAAAAAAACAAATATCGGCTGATCGAATGTATTCAAGTCCAGTAAACCACCGTTGACTCTGGCCAGATCTGACCGGACCATTCACCCTTAATGATGCGTGAATCTCAGCCCCAGAATTACCCACAATGCAGCAGTGCTCTTCTGCTAGCATAACAACAAGCTGGCGACTTCATTGGAGCAATTATGTAATGAAACTTAACGTTATAGAGAGCATATCCTCAGATTCTTTATGCAAAACTGGCAGAAATTGTTCACTGGAGAGTTTCTTCAACAGCTGGACATGTTTCAGGGACTACAAAGTTGCAAAACAGACTGTGTTGCTTGAAGTTTTCGTGTCACATAAGTAATCATCTTATTAGTTCTAACCTTATGACACAGATCCAGTTTGTCCCGCCTACAAAACAGGAGTTGTACCAGCTCTTTACTAGACTGATACGTCATATATACGTCATATCATTCTGACATTCCAGGCTATCGGAATATATCGACTGGCATCTAACAATTCTGTTATCGGCATGGTGAAAGAAACACTCTGCTTCCGTTTAAAGATGCTGTACCATTTCTGTTAATATTACATGGATCAGTGGTCATCATACCTTTTGCTGTTGTCTTTTTTAGTAATATCCATTGATCAAGCCCTTTCTAGCATTCTACAGTACACAATAAGTAATAAAAGTTTGTGCTCATATGTATTGGGTCTATATTGGTATTGGTCAATTCTCAAAGTTGCAATATTGGTATCGTATCGGGACACCCCCTCTAAAAACACTAGGGCTGTCAAACCATAAAAAATTTTAATCTAATTAATGACAATGTTTCTTGAGTTAATTTCGATTATTTCCATTTTCTGTGAAATTTCTGTTCTGTTTTCAAAACAGAAAGATAAATGACAAGAAGTGGATATTTATATTAGTGTTTATTAATGACAAATCCCAAAAGCTAATTCCCAAGAAATTTTGTCAACCTAGCCATTGGTCTTTTTTTTTTTTTTTTTTTAGCAAAAACAGGATAGGTGGATGGAACGTTTTTCGTTTTAAACAAACAAGGCATTACACCCAGATAATTCTTGTTACTCACGGAGGTCCAATGGCTTCCTGTCAAAGCAACATATTCTAATGAAGCATCTTTCGTTTTTTTTAGCCTCATAATG